AAAAAAAAAAAAAAAAAAAAAAAAAAAAAAAAAAAAAAAAAAAAAAAAAAAAAAAAAAAAAAAAAAAAAAAAAAAAAAAAAAAAATAGACGAGGGAAAAAAAGTTGTTCGGAGATCGCACGCTCTTTTGAAATTCCCGCGCTCGCGCGTAGCAGCTGCAAGCAGACACACGTGTGTATAGGTATACAAGCCGTGAGTGACGCGCGCGCGGAGCTTGAGAGAGAGAGAGAGAGAGAGAGTAGACCCGGCCTTTGGTATTACACATTGTGGTAAATACACCGCGGTGTACACGTAACAGCGATTACACGCGAGACCAGATACTTATTGAATAAGAATGAAGAACAAAAAAAATATACGAGATAGCAGGCATGTATACAATTGTTCGTGAGAGTGTGTGTGTGTGTGTGATATGTTTCACTACAGGCGGATGGAAACGAACGCGTTGGCCAACGCTATTTTTAGAGGGGCGACCTCCCCTTGCGCGATACCGAGAGCCCCACACGCCGCGTTACAATCTTCACAACGTGTTTCCTTATATACTTATACTTTTGACGCATGAGTTTAACACAACAATAATGTTACAAATATAATTGTACGTAGACGAAGGTTATACCTTACCTGCTGTATTGGGAGAAACTGAAAGGGACGACCTCCGGCAGAAGAAGAAGAAAAAAAACAAATAATCACAAAGGGAACACTTATCGATTTGTAAGTAGGTACTACGGTGCGCTTGTCGCGGACATCCTCGGCCTCTCGGCGCGCACGCCTAACTCTCCCCGACTCCCCAAGTGAGCGAGCATTGTAACGCGAAAGAGAGAAAGAGAGCATCACACACACGTATACTTATCAGTATAGCCGCCGGCGATGATGATGCGGCGCTGTTTTCGCCTCCCCCTGGAAAAGTCTTTTTTCGTTTTTTTCAAAGCATTACAAAAATAAGTCCACGATGTTTACATGTGACTAAGCGTTAACACGTGATAAATAGGTACATCATTGTTCGTGTCGTGCATGTAAGTATACGTGCAAACCATCGTTGATGGGCGTATTATGCTTACCAGTTGGAATAATTATGCGCACACTACGCGCGTTATTATTAATATTTGCAGACTTGCTTCGAATTTCAAGTGCAATTATGAATACAAAATTTTTTTTTTCCCTTGGGTATAAGGAGTCTTTGGATGGCGTGAGTCTCGACTGGATTTTTTTGACAATTTAGCCTTACATGGGGATTCAGCGTCGAGGAAAAAAAAACGTTCGAGCCTTGAAGTCCGATGATATTGTACGTAAGTTATTTTTACCGATCAATACCGATGCGCTCGTCTTGAGGGAAGATCGTTGCCTCGAGATAGAGAAAGAATAATCATCGTACGGTTTCACCAGCCGCGTGATTGTAAGTTCAAGTTTTTTTTTTTTTTTTTTTTTTAATTGTGTCTTTTNACATAATTATGGTTGACGAACGATATCGACGTTGGGTAATTATCGACAAGACGAGAGGGTTACCGTATAACAAACACCCTCAAGTGAGGGGGGTGGGTGAAGCATCACCATCATCATCATTAATTTTTTTTTTTTTTTTTTTTTTTTTTTTTTTTTTTTTTTCATACTGCTATTATCTCTTGGGTAAAAAAAAAACTTGGATGGATTATACCGGGTGAGTTTGGTTTTGAATTGGTACGGTAATCGTGCCTCATCTATGTTGTCCACATTATAATGAAGAAAAAAAACTTTCGAAATCCATGCACAAAAAAGTTGACCCACCACGTAAAAGTAGTAAAATAATACCCACGAAATATCGATTCGAGGCGCGGGGGTAATCGTTCAGCTCGTCATCTGTACTTAATCCGTATAGCGAGGATATAGCCATGGGCACCTCGTAACGGGCGTCAAGCGCAAAGTACAATGACTAGGAGGATAAAAGCATCGATGACTTGTTGTATCCTTTCACGATCTCCATGTCAACTTCTGAGAATCAGCACTCGGTTGTTAATCTCTCGTTCTTGGGTACAGGCAACACACTCGTGATCACAGGCTATTGGCCACTCGACAGGCGTTACTTACCCAGCCGCTGTTGCTAATACACATGCTATATAGTGACAGGCTCGCTTTTTAGACCAATTATCGGCTCTCAATGTATAGGAGGTGCATATTCATATAACTATCTATTAAAGTGTCATCGACAAACCGATATCACAGAGTATGATTATTCGCTCAACTGTTGATATAATTGTACTTACGCGCATATACAACGTTTTACGTGACAATGTATCGCGAATCGTCGGGTTGTGTTGTTTCACTTACGAACTGCTTTTTGGGAGTATTTTCCGTGGACACGAAAACCATTTGTTTATCGACAAGCCTTATTGATTTTTAATTGATTTCTGAAATACATGCAAGTGAAACAACGTCACACGAGAAACATCCTTAGTGAAATTCATCGCAGTGTTAATAATTCCGTATACCTGCATATTCACCCTACGAAATATCGATTGGGAATGAAAAAAAAAAATAATAATAATAATTGATAAAAAAAATTGAAGACTGGAACTTTTTGCGACTGAGATGAGGTTGAAAGCATAAGTAAAGTTAAAGAAAATTTTACAAATTTGCTCACAATTTGTCAGCTTAGACGAGAGGTCACGTGCACGCATATATCGTATCTCGAAACAAGACAACCGGAACAGCAACCCTATCAGCTATACCGCTGTTGTGGTGCAGCATCCGCGCAACCGATACGCAGACGAACGAGGCACACGAGCGCGTCATTTCTCTTTGAGTAAAAAAATGATAATCATCCGTGCACATGTATTGGAAAAAATAACACTATATAAATTATACCCATACCGAGATATATAGTTTCAGGTGCAAAGTATCACGGAATTGAAATAATAAATGCTGATGAAAAAAACACCTTGTTGTATGCTTATTGTAATTTGTCACCACGTACATTCTCAATACGTAAAATCTCCCCTCTCGCCTGGCTGAGAAAAAAAAAAAAAAAAACCACCGCTTTCGCGGTCGCCGCGAATCAACCAAAAGCAGCATTTAAGCTCTCGTTAGCCGGCGTTGACTGATTGACTGCAAAAAAAAAAAAAAAAAAACCACCGCTTTCGCGGTCGCCGCGAATCAACCAAAAGCAGCATTTAAGCTCTCGTTAGCCGGCGTTGACTGATTGACTGCGACCGCGGTTGGCCGATAGCCGCGCGCGCGCGCAAAAAGTACACAACCCACATCGTCGAGTTCCCTATATATATATATATATATGCATGCAAAGGCTCGTATTTTTTTCTTTTTTGTTCGATTATCGGCTTTGGAAGCGCCGCCGGCACGAGTGCCTATATACACACGCGTGCACCGCGGCGTTTTGTTGCAGATAGATAGGTACAGGGGAATCGGGAGAAAGTGGCGACCACCACCACATGCACGGACGGGCATTAACGCGCCAATGTCGAGAGAGCATAGGTACACCGGTATAATATACGTATAAATAAAATAGGTGTAAGAGTATAATATATATATACGCGCGACGGTATGTATATGTATATACACAACACACGGAGGGAATCGTGTTGCGTAATTGAATGCGCACCGCGAGGAGAGCAACACGTACCTATTACACGGATGGCGCAGCGTGTATATGCAGGGAGAGCTCGGGCAAAGAGGAAATCGGTACGGCTCGAGCGAATGCATCCGGGACAATGGGACCATTGTTGGTTGGTCCCCGCTGTACATGCAGGCTGAGCCGTAAGCGGAGGGAAAGAGAGACGTTTGGACTTTTTAAAGGAAAGAGATAAAAAAAAAATAAAAAAAACTCCAAAGAGAGAGAACGAACGCGCTCGCGAGTATATGTATGTATATATATATATAACACACGCGCGCAAAGTCACAGCAGTCAGAGCGGCCTTTCCAAACGTAGGTATACCCAGTATCTTTGCACGAGGAGGAGGAGGGTGTATATATATATATACGCTTAACTGTATACCCATATTATTCCCCTGTACGTATACGCGCGGTGTAACGTACCCTCTCCACGAGGTCTCCGCCGTCAGCCGCCGTGTGCAGCCGCGGAATATATAAGGCCGCGAGCAGCCCTTTCCCCAAAGACACTCGTTGTTGCGCTCAAGACGATCTAGCCGTTTCCTCGGTATTCTCCAGAGTTTGAAGTTAATTACTTTTTTTTTTTTTTTTTTTTTTTTNATATACGCTTAACTGTATACCCATATTATTCCCCTGTACGTATACGCGCGGTGTAACGTACCCTCTCCACGAGGTCTCCGCCGTCAGCCGCCGTGTGCAGCCGCGGAATATATAAGGCCGCGAGCAGCCCTTTCCCCAAAGACACTCGTTGTTGCGCTCAGGACGAACTGGACGTTTACTCGGTATTCTCCAGTTTTTGAAGTTAATTAGTTTTTTTTTTTTTTTTTTTTTTTTTCTTCACCCTCTCGTCACGCGCTATCCCTGCGGTTTTTTCGTGCCGATCTGTCATCGAGTATACACCGCCGACACCGAGGAACCCTCTGTTCGCCATCCGACCATCATGTGGCGGCTTCTACTGTTCGCAGGTGAGTTAAGAAATCGGTTACAAAGTGCCTCGTGTGAATAAGCTAAACATAATTATGGTTGACGAACGATATCGACGTTGGGTAATTATCGACAAGACGAGAGGGTTACCGTATAACAAACACCCTCAAGTGAGGGGGGTGGGTGAAGCATCACCATCATCATCATTAATTATTATCAACTTTTTTTTTTTTTTTTTCTTTTTTCTCACCACTGCCGCTGGAATATTCAAGGCTTCGGATGCAAACTCCCGCACCTATACATAATATTTTGTACGACAGGCGCGTAATCGCGATCGGTTTATCCCCCGGAGTTGCAATGGCCGTACGTATATGTACCGGTTACCCGCGATTTTTTATTTTTTCATTAAAAAAAAACAACATTTTATTTTTTCTTTTCAGTCACCCAACTCAGTGTGTGCATTATCAAATTGATCGATAACAGTGCGTGACATAACGACATACAATAGCCGCGGGAACAATTTGAAAGTGCAAAAGACCGCCCTCCCCCCCCCCCCGATAAAACCCTGAGATTGTAACGTATAGATCCGCGGGTGCATGTGTGTGCACGCGTACAAGTATTAAGTATAGTCGTGTGTATACAGGGTAATGTAAGAAGTCAAAGAGTCGCCGGAAAAGAGAAAATCGAGGAAACGCATGACTCGTACATATAGGTATAATATCTACCTCTCCCGACGGGCGCATTTTGATATACACATACAGGTATTATAATAGTGCGTCCACGCGTTGTGCATTATTGTTATTATATACCATCATGATTATTATTGCACGTATGTATACGGTGCATTGCTCTCCTTACAGGCGCGATTGATCGGCTACACTGTATATATACGTATTCCCATACACCTATACAGAGCAGATGTACGTACAGATATAGGGATCGCGTAATGCGTGTATATATATATATAACACACGCGCGCAAAGTCACAGCAGTCAGAGCGGCCTTTCCAAACGTAGGTATACCCAGTATCTTTGAACGAGGAGGAGGAGGGTGTATATATATATATACGCTTAACTGTATACCCATATTATTCCCCTGTACGTATACGCGCGGTGTAACGTACCCTCTCCNCCATCATGATTATTATTGCACGTATGTATACGGTGCATTGCTCTCCTTACAGGCGCGATTGATCGGCTACACTGTATATATACGTATTCCCATACACCTA